TCTTCATTAAAATTACATTCTACTTTAATTAGGCCTTTAATTAAGTCCTCCGTATAATTTTCAACATTGTCAATTTACAATCTTACTGGAGTTATTTAAATCTAACCTAATCTAAAATTGCGATAGCTTATAACGTAATGACGATAGTTACAGGTTCACGGTTCAATTTCAATTTTAAAATAATTACTTATATGTAGATGTAAACATTTCTTACTTTGTCAAGACTGAGTCAGTTCGTAGCATAGAATTATTAAGGCCATAAGTTCACCATTCTTAACAAAACCAGTTATAAAACGCAAGATAAAAATAATCGGTCGTCTATAAGATATTGCCGAAAAGTCGGACGCCGCTGTAATGATTACCTCAAATGATGGCATGTTGCGTAACAAGAAAGCCTGTTACTCGAAAGCGGAACGCATTTTTTATGTTAACGGCGTATCATAGCTGTGAAGCTTCTATCTAGTTATGATTACAAATGTCAGATATGATCATGTTAAATAAATTCAAGCTAAGTTATAATTGCTTTATCTGTAACTGTCCAGAACACAGAAGAGAGATCTGACGAAAATTACATACTGCAATATACAGTAGAGAGATAGATACTTTTTGAATCGATATTAGACTGAATCGTAATATATGAAGAATGTTATACATTTGTAGCATGTCCTAGGATTCTTATTCCTGTTCTTTTTTGTAATAAAATACCGATTAAATTTGTATCAAATAAACGATTTTAATTATGAAATAAGAAATGATCTGTGTGATATGAATTCCACCGATTTATTAAAAAATAAATATTTTTATAACTTTTTAATCAACTGAACAAATATAGAAAAGTTCGTTTTGCGAAGTTAAAATTTTGAAAACTTGGTTTTTAGTGAAGGATGGATGGAAGAATATGAAATAATCAAAGAAAATAAAATTGCCTAAAACGCTCATTGAAAAGTGAGACATAATTAAAGAATTCTAAAAGCTGGCTGAAAAGTAGCTCGGTGGCATTGTGGATAAGCGCTGCGGCCCGCGATCGTTGTCGTTAAGCAACTTTCGCAAGGGTCGGTCACGGGATGGGTGACCAAAAAATTATTATCTCGAGCTACTCCGTGCTTCGGAAGGCACGCTAAGCCGTTGGTCCCGGCTGCATTTGCAGTCGTTGATACCCTCCAATCCGCATTGGGCCAGCGTAGAGTGTCACGGCCCATCACCCTTAACCATCCTTAAGGAAGGTCAGAGCCCCTGCAGTGGGGACGTAAAAGGGCTGATGATGATGATGAAAGACCGGACCTTGTATAGAAATTATTAGTAATTCATCACTAATTCAATACTAGCTTTTTGCCAGCGGCCTGTATGGTCCTTTATTATACATATGAACCTTTCGCTTGAATAGATGCCTATGTTGATGAAAGCCGCATTTGTACAGTTTGAAATATCTCAGCGTACAGACAGCAGAAAGCGCCTTTGTTTTATAGTATGTGTAGATAGATAGTAAATAAACGAATATATGAAAAAATCACATACATTGTTCAGATTTTAAGTTATATATAATAAAAATTGAACTAAAGTCTAAAAGGTATCACAACCACCCACACTCGAGAAAATATAAATAATGAAATCAATTAATCCGATCACCAAATCTAGGAATAAAATTCCTTAGAGTAACTATAAATGTAATGTTTGCTGAATTATTAAGACAAAAGCAGTTAAAATGAAGTAAAATCTCAGTAATGTAAAATGCTTATCAATGGCCATTTCTTTTACAATACATATTTTTTAAAATTTTTAGTTCCTTTTCCTATACTGTATATTTATAGCCATTCAAATTATTTTACTTGTATTTAGAGACATAGTGTCACGGGTAGAATTCTCACAGTTTAGTACTTTTTCTTTTCCGCCTCTCGCACGGATGGTGCAATTAACCCTGTGAACGCAAATGGCTATGAGACTAAAATGTTGATCTTATGGTTCATTAGCACTTAAGTTTTCACCATATCTTGAGAGTAACAAAAAGTTGCCAATCAATCTTTCAGTGAATAATCTAGAAATGTTTAGAGCATATTGTCATTGAATTTTTCTGTCTTCTGTGTAAACATCGGTAAATGTGTCTACCATTTTTCTTCTCTGTGACTATCTGGTTAAATTCATGTTTTTCTTGCCATCTTAACTCTATTATCTTTCCATCCCTACAGTTCAAGTTGCTACTTTCACTCCATTTTCCGATTCTTTTAACTATGTGGCCAGATAGCCTTTGGAGCTTCTCGGTGTTAACTCCAGATCTTAGGCTTTTGTTTTATCTGTCTTATCAAAGCAAAGCTAAGCTTTTTGCAACTATTTTCTATTTAACTTTGCTTCACTCCATGGTCTATCTGGATTGATTTTTGGTGATTTTGGTCATTACAATACAATTTTAGAGTAATTAAGACATTTTAAAAGTTCCATATTGAAAAATACGTGTTTTCAATTACCATTAACTGACATATAGTAAATAACTTGCCCATTTGTAGAATCAAATGATTGAAGTTGTATCATATTTATTGAGACATAATTGTGCTAAAATATTTATAAGAAATACCGCATTACCTAATCTTATTTATTGAACCGAGATAATATCCAACAGTCAATAATACACGATTTCATAAAGGCACGTGCATTGTCTTACGAGATTGCGTTAGAACAACGGATTCTGTGGAGAGTTGCATTCGAGATCTACTACCACGGAACGGGGCCATTTTTTACCTTCGTATTATACATTTTCACGCGTATCACTGTGCACGAGTTTCAAATTGGAACGAGTATATATTGCAACATAATTTTTAGTGTAAGTTTTTTAGTCAGCGTTGCAATTCGATCCGCTTTTATTAAACTTTAGATATCACTTTGATTTGATTATGGAGTCAAATCATGTTATTACGAATTATTTTCTGAAGACAATAGTAAAAGAATAATCGAATAAAATTACAAAAATCATACGTACATTAGTTTACGCAGAAAAAGTAATAATTGCCGATGCTTTTGCAATTAAAATTTACATTATACGAAAATCTATAACAATGGCTTATTAAAAGCGTAAAACTTGCTTTGTCGCAGGTTGCTAAAGACACTGAAAAATTTTGATTTGTGTACCAACTACCACTAGGCGTGAAATCGGCGTGATTTATCGGTATTATATTGGTTGAATGCACTTCAAAAGTTCTCTGAAAATAATTATTGCACTATCAAAAGTGTGCCAGTCAGTACGTGTTCTTTATTGGCCGGTGATGCCTTTAGAGTATTTCCAGATAGGTATTTTGTAGGCGCCAGCGACTGCAGCGCGACGACGAAGGAGGAAGAGTGTAATGTTAAGAGAAAACCTTTTAGTGACACTTAAACTCTGTTTGGAATAGAAGAAAAATCTTATAAATATGAAATTGACAAAAGACAAACTATATACTATCAAAATAGAAATGAAGGTGGTTATATGTTCGATGGCGATTTATTATTTTATGTATACGTATGTTCACCGATTTTTCCATAAATTTCCTGGGGTGGTCTTATGTAAATTCGAAATCGAATCAGTAGTTTTCTTTTTATAACTTTTAATGAAAAAATACTTTTAATGAAATACCATCTAAATATTTAGGTGACACATTTATATCAGCGAAAAAACAAAAGATCGCGTATTTTACATTCATTTAAAATCCCTTATTTATTTATTTTCGATTTATTTCTTGATATTATTTAACAGTTTACTTTTTATATTCTTAATATTATAATATTGTGGCAGAGTCGTTGATTAGGCAAATGATTAAATGGCTGACTAAGCTTGGGAACTTGATTTAAGAAATGGTAACAAAAAAAAACAGTAGCAAAAAAAAGGAATATAAAAACAGTTCGTATGGTTACCTAAAGAATAATATTAAAATAGTTAAATAGAACAATTACATACCCCTTTTCTTCGGGCTTGGTGAGTAACTCAACTTTATTATATTTAATTTGATATAAGATGCATTCTTTACAACGAATTGCTATTGATTGAAATTAAGTAAGTATAATCTTTTTAATTCGACGAATTTTCACGAACTGACATTCGTAAAGAGCATATTGGATTACTCAAAATTTCAAATTTCGAAAAATGAATAATAAAAATAAATGATCTTGAAGATCAAAAAGTTTGCATGCCGAAACCTAGGACCAAATAAACGGTGGTACGACGCACCGTTACAATACTATGTATTATAAACAATTAAAGGGCAACTATTCTTTACAACCGTTCTTTCACCGAATATAAGTAACATTCACAGCCTAGTGACTCGCACGCGGTTTCTGGGTAGCGCCGTCTCAGTGGTCCCGGGTTTGATTACCCAACTCTCAATTTAAAATATAACTTTTCTATATTGTTTCAACTCCGTTGTTCAAGATACTAATTGATGAGAGCACTTTAACTGTGTATGTGATGTTGTTTTATAGTTATTATTTTATCGTTTAAAAACTAAAACCTGATTTACTCGATCAAGTGGCTACTGTTCGTAGAAATCTATGGTCGCCTTATATATTGTTTTGTGTGGCATACGATATTTCACATGAATCAAATCAATTCAAAATTATTTATTCAATGTAAGTTGCTATAATCACTCGTGGAAGTCGAAAATGTATGCCTATTCTTGTACCTAGAAGACCCGACAAGAAACTCAGAAAGATCTACTTTTTCCCTGATTTTTTTTTCGTTAAGTCCAAAAAGTTGAACTATTCGAATGCATTTTAATAAGTTAATTTGACTTAAGATATGTTTGACTATTTGATTGTGATAAAATCTTTAGAAAAATGATATCATTTTCCATTTTTAATTACAACTTATTTGAACATTATTTCTTTATATGAAACCAGCTGTAAGTTAATAATTTTGGGTGTATTATATGTCTTCATTAAACCTCTTTCAATGATTCCAGCTTAAGAGAATATCGTTTCTCACTCAATACATAACTGCATTTTATGCATGTTTAATGTGATTGAGAAATATCTTCACGTCAATGGACTATGACTGCATACCGAACAGCATCGCTGATGAAAGCGTCAATGACATAAATACAGGCATTTTTCACAATTTTAGTAAAAATTCTTTTACACTTACGGTAATTTGCATAACAAGCTATGAGAGACCTTGAATTTTTGGTTTTAAATTCATTTTCACTTCTAAACAAATTTTTAGATATGATATTTAAAACTGCAAGTAATTTTATATATATTATGAAATATGAATAAAAGAAAACAAATATTTTCATATAAAGATATGAAGATATTTTTAAGAAACACAAGCGGTGTATCCAACACTAATATAAATTCATTAGTCGTTCCTGTCATTAGTTTTCTACGTGCAATCATAAAATTATTTCAAGTTAACCGAAAAACCTGTAATTAAATTAAGAATTTTCTTAGTTGAAGTTAGACCTTTTGAGTAAGTTATAAACAAACACACGTACTACATCTGATTAACGGTTGCGGTTTATGTGCACAGTTACAGACTGAGAAGGCTCCCACGCTTGTGATGTTACCATCTAATATAATTTTCAGTATTTCGACTAACATCGAATTACGGTTGCGCATAAAGACAACCTCGGTAGCGAAGTGCATAAGCGCCGCGGACTGCGAGTAGTGTTCTTAATCGGTCACGGGATGGGTGAACAAAAAATTATCAAATGACATGAAATGAACATATCTTTATTCCAGTAAGCTTGTTACAAGCACTTTTGAATCGTCCAAAAAAAATTTTTCCCTACCACTTGTTCAGGACGTCTTTTAGCTGACAAGAAGAACAAGCGAAAGAAACTTACCAGCTCTTTATCATAAGTAATAACATTTACAAAATCATGTCATTATCAAAATAATATGTATTATCACAATAATAAATACAACTTTCAAAGTCTGTAGGTCATAGTTTGTACCTATAAATTAGTCGTTATAGAACAAAGCGAAGGCTATTAATTTCATGCATTGCAGTCCTTAAAATAATCATCAACTTTATAATGGACTTCACTCATAAATATGTTCTTTACATAAATTTTTAATTTATTCATGGTTAGGTTAGTTTCCATCATCATCATCTCTCATTACTCCGTGCTTCGGAAGGCACCTTAACCCATAGTCCTTAATCGTTCATAGATAAGGCCTGAATCCCTGCAGTGGGAACTTAAAAGGGCTGATGACAGACAACCTCTGTAGCCGAGTGGTTTTGAACGTTGGTTTCAATGTGTCACCACACTGTGACGGATACGGTGCTTAGGCAAATAGAAGGCTAACTAAGATTGATATATTTCAGTGTTAATAAAAAACTCTAACAAACAAAAAGAATCCAAAAATCGTTCGTTGTGATTTCTAAACTTACAATGAGTAAAGTAGTTAAATAAAACAGTTACATACCCCTTTCTTAGCTTGTAGAACAAATTGCACTAAGAATTATAAATGTATTTTGGTAAATTCTAATACTTTTTGTATCACATTGCGTTATACACAGAAATTTTGCCAACATCCCGTAGTGAGAGAGACACGTGATTCAAGAGACTGAACGGTAGTTATAATTACATATGTACGGTAATTAATTAATTCTTCCTTGAGATTGTTCTTTCTCTACTAAAAAAAAACAACACAAGAGCAGATATCACTATAACTACAATAATTTAAATACATAAAAGGACAACACAAAAGCAAATAACACTAAAACTATAATATTTAAATACATAAAAGAGAATTTTGCAACACTTATTTATAATTTGATATTATGTTTTTTAATAAATTTGCAAAGACGAAGAAAGCCAGGTTTGTCAGAAATAGTAAGAAGAGAGTTAAGATTAACTGGACGGGGAGTTGTAGATGGGAGTTGATTATATAAAGACGGGTACTTCTGACAGCTAAAAAAAATGTGACAAGTAGTTCTTCAATTCCACATTCACAAACAGAACTATTTAAACAGGTGTAGTTACATATCCAAAACGAAGACGACATATAGTGACGATACGTCTGGGAATATCACGAAAGATGCCATGTTTTCACCTGATGAATTTTCACGAACTGACATTTTGAAAGAGCATATCGCGTTACTAAAAATTTCAAATTAGGAAAAGTGAAAATTAAAAGGAAATAATATTCAAGTTCATAGACATAAAGTTCGGATGCTCCGAACCTAGGACGAAATTAACGGTATATCGTACTGGTCAATATCGATAAATGATCTTTTCTATATTGTCTAGATGCTTGGGAGCATTAGTTCTTGTGCAGTGATCAATGTACAAGTCATAGATATCGAAATTAAAGTACCAGCAATGGTTCAATAACCACAGACGTATGGAGATTTGCAAGCTTTTTATTATTTCTACAAGCGCATTTTCTGTCGGTTAATAAAGAGACAAAGTTTTTGTTTAGCCCAATATATCAGTAATTCTATGTACTTAGCTAGAATTCAAAACATACCACGCTTACTACTTATTGTTTTGATATTAATTTTGTTAATTGCACTTACTCCGCTGTAAATTAAATAGCTACAGCTTCTACAATCATGTATTATATGTATATGCGTACATAATATGTGAAATTCCCTATCTGTCTTTTACGGTTTATGAGATACCACAGCCTGGTGACAGAGGCATAGCGGAGTCTAAGTAATAGGGACCCATTTTGATCCATTGGTACCGTGTTAATGTAATTTAAAACGTAACGCAAAGAAATTGAAAATACTAATGGAAATATAAATTGCAATAAAAAAAAACTGAATCAAAACTTTGAAAAAACTATGATTGAAATGGTCAGTAAAAGCAATTTCATAGATATTATTAATAGTTTATGAAAATGAGAAAATAAAATATCAAGTAATTAATAGCTCATCAATGATAACATATCTCAACTAGTGTATTTATTTATTACATTTACACCACCGTATCTCACCGTAAAAAGAGCTACATAATCTGGCTATTACACAGACTATAAATTTTACCAACGTCAATATCAGAGAGCACTTTCGCTTCTTTATGGTATTTCAATGATTCGAGCAGGCATACCGTTAACACAGTTACATCATGTTCATTCATGTCTAGCGTTTTTGTAAGAGAAATGTTACGGTATTATTATTATCTATTAACCGGTCATTATATTTCTAAAGTAACGTAGAAGATTATTATGAAGATAGGCATTCGATATCGCATAAAATGTGTCTTGAAAATGATATAATTATTGTTGACAGCTTTATAAAAACTCTGTGTTGAACGGAGATTAATGTTAGTTCTATGCTACAAAATAGTCTTTGTGCGCTGATTATTTTTCATAAATTAGAATATGTAGCAGCATAAAATAATCAAAAGAGCTGTATTCTTTATATCTATCTATACTATATTTTTCATATCTACTAATTTCCGACTTTATTTAGAATATTTTACTGTATCTGTCATAAAGCTCTAACTAAAACACAACATTTGAAAATGTTGTTTGACTATTTCCTTTACAAGAACTATTATATAACAGAAAAAATAATAAAGAGTGGAGTTTCACCTTAACCTTACGATTATGTGACGGTAGCAAAACGATCAAGCCACATATTTTACTGCGGTAAAACAGAAGATAGAGTGGAGAATGTAGAGGTTGCGAAGTTGAAGCTTGTAGGGCTAGAAAATTCGCTTATAATGAATGCTGATTTTTTTTTTAAGTCTGGTCTTGGCATTAATTTACATGAAGATGTTATTGGTGGAATTTAGATAGACAAATAACTAAAGCAATTCGTTAGGCGTCCAATTAACCTTTTAAATTAGATTATCGAATTTTAGGAATCACAGTCCTTAGTATTAACAGCGTCATGTTATTATTTCTTTTTCAAACAAATGTAATTTTTAACAATCAAAATTTCAAACTCATTTCAAAGGTCGTGAGAAATTACTTTAAAGCTATTATAGTAAATTCAACGATCCATTAAAAGAAGTCGCACAAACATTATATAATAACAACGCTATCAACGTAATAATCTTTTTAATTGTCTTATATAAATAATGCTCATTCATAAATATGAATAAGGTTTGCTGTACCAAGGTCATGGACCAGACAATATTCGCATCGATATTGTCCCAAAAGTGGGACTAGGTTTTCTCACTGCCTTGACATTTCGTTTTATTATTAGTATTTTATTAATAGCCCTTATATAGATGCTGTAATATTTTAAAACTGTTACTGTAATATTCTAATTTTATTATCAGTAAAACAACTTAATGTTACAGAATAGGGCTAAATTCAGTATTAATAATAATATTCAAGTTCTCTTCAATATTATCGAGTCATTTACTATTCAAAATGTGTCTGATCCACAAATGGACATTAAGTAATGTTTAAGTATGTAATTACTTAGTTATTATTATTAACTTGGAATTTGAAAAATATGGGTCACCACAATTCAGTACTTCAACGAAATTGAAGTCTTTTATTTAATACCCCACACATTCTCTATTGCTATTTCCTCTCCAGATCAGCATGGAGTATTAGGTACTTTGTTTTTTATGTCTAAGATATTTTTTTATATGGTTCTGTCGTAACCATATTTTTTTCTCCACAGGTGAGGTCAATGTTCGGTAACAACGTAAACACCACGACAGACCTAATGCTGCCAATACTATTAGATATGGCGAATCTAATCAGACGTGCTGTCAGACCAGGCAAACAATTAAGAGAAGTCAAATACCCACCGCCTCCCCAGCAAATGCTTAGGCGGTCCTTCACTGAAGACGTAACATACATTGACGATGACATTGAGTTAGATCCAGAAACAAACACAAATGAACAAACTGATAACATTACCAGTAAATCTGAACACAATAATGCAAATCATCAAGTCACTAACAAAATAACAACCCCGATGCCTTTACATCTCAGATTTCGAACCAGAAGGATTTTGCCACTTAGGACCAACAAACCAACAATATCGAACAAACCAGTACAAGATCACAACAGAACAACAACGCATGACTCTAAACAAAAAGAAAACAACACATTAATATCTCATAGTGAAGTCGATGTAAGTAAATTAAACATTAATCAATTATTGTATAAGAAACTTATCTCTTTTCTTATTAAATTGGTTTATAATTCTCCTAGCTGTAAGAATGTATGGTAATGAGATGGATTCTGTATTTTAACAATTCATAAATTTATCACTCAACATTTTATAAGATGTCTGAAATGTGAACAGAAATTAATTTAGGCTCTTGAACTATGTACTTACCAGAGGAGTTATTACTATGTCTTTTCGTGTATTTTTTTAATATCAGTGGTATTTAAATTATTCTGGATTTCATAGAAGAACGTGTCAACTACAATAGAAGCATCTACATCATCGAGAGGAAGATCAGCCTTCAAGACTTTTGCTGACAATACTACTGATCTTACAGCCGCTGCAACCAATCAGACCCTTGCACAAGACCTGCCCGTTGCTGAAAAATTGAGAGCTTTCAACAGATATATTGACAGAAAAAGTAAGGACTTCCAGTTTTGACTTTTGAGCAAAATTGTATTTGTTTAATCAGAATGAATTAAAAAAAGAAAATGTGAGTTGCTTTTTGGCAAGTAAAAGAAGTCGCACAAACATTATATAATAACGAGTAAAAATAAACGTAAGCTTTTTTATTCTTCAATAACTTTTGAAAATACGTTACATATCATGCTGGTTTTGTTTGAATGTTGAAAATTATCATAATTCTATAGCTAGACTATTTACTAAATTAGCAAATTTCCTCTAAAGTTAAGCACTAATTTAGTTTGCCACTAGAGCTGGGTTTTGTGTATTAGGGAATCTATTCTACAGTATATATTTTGCCTAAGCTATGGTATAATGAAAACGAGTTTTGTTATTGTAGGTAACTTGATAAGACGTGGAACATACCCACCCAAGCCACCATTGGCGCGTCATACTACAGCTGAGTCAACGGTCAGCCCCGTAGTCAGCCGACGTCGCCCAGCCCCTCCAAGGAAGCTTCCCAGTGCAGCAGCAGATCAGGCGAAGTGTGAACTCTTCACTAATACATTGTGTCTTCACGCAGATGATTATCCTACGTAAGTCTTTCTAGAGGTTTATATCAATTCATAATAGTAATAATAATAAAGTATTTATTTGCCAACACACAACATAACCCAAACAAGACAATTAACAATTAGTACATACCAGAATTTATAGTGTCATATTCATCATAATAATAATTCATCATATTAAATGCAAAATTTATCAAATATAGACAAACCTTGTGGCGCTCAAACACTTCAGCATATGCAAGGGATATGGTGTGAAAATACACTCGTACATATACAGATTTACTAATTATTATACAAAGAAAAACTGATATTTTACGATATACTAATATTCTTCACTGTTTTGTAAAGTACTGGTATCTGGTATCTTTTTATTTTATGCGATCAATTTAGTAAACATTACAAACGTAACTGTGGTGATGTTAATGTTACTGCTTTGACTCGGTAAGTAAGAGGCCTAAACACATTTGTCAATTGAAAGTGGTATAAAAGCACAAGTCATCGTTGTATAATTTCCAAGAGCAAGTATATAAAAAGTAAGACTTAATAATGGTACACCGAATGCGAAAGTGTGGCCAGCTAAACGATACAAAGCTGTCAACCCACTTTTTTTGTTGAATCCAATTGTTGAACATAATCATTCAGATAAATATAAATTAACTATTCCGCGGAATTTATCTTCAATTAATTATGTTATGTCGATTTCCAATTCAAAAAGCACTTATTTTACTTCTTTATTACTCATATATTTTTCAAATTATTACAGTAATTATTGTCAGGTACCATATTTTTTACAGGATCTGGATTATGCTTTTCTTTTTCATTTCTGCACATTTGGGTCAGTGTTACTATCTAAATGTAGGTGCGATAGTACGTGACTTGTTATAAAAATTTTGTCAACTAACGAACGTTACACCGCTTCGATACTAGAGTTAACATGGTTTTATACTTTTTTCAACATTATTTTATATTTTTTTATCATGTCTTGCATTTAGGTACGATGAACATTATGTCTAGGATAATTGATTAAAATATTATTCTCATTTATTTATACTATAATAAAAACGTTAACTGATCGATGTTTGTATTTTGAACATATATGAAAAAACTATTTTGAAGGGCATTTACAAACCTAATAGAACACAAATCAATGATTTTCAAAATTTTTGCCTGTTTGTCTGTGCGTTAGTGCACGCTAATCTCAGAAACGGCTGATCCGATTTAAATTCAGATTTCACTATTGTATTTTGGTTATCTTCTGTTAACATTCTGTGTATGTCTTGTGAAAATTGCTTAATAATAACAATCGCGGGCGTCGTCGGCGCTTATCTGTTGCGCTACCGAGCTACGTATTTATATTGCCTGTAAAATGATATGTAATTTATAAGACGATATATAAAAAATAAGTTTCCAAGATTTTGGATACCCAAATGTAAGTTGACCTCAATTATATAATGACCAATCACATGATATTATATTAAATAGGGTTAAGCTTATAATGGGTACATAGTATATGATTACGCGAGTAGGAGATCAAGCAAAAAGAGCGTAGCACTGACAGAGAACGAATGTTGAAGATTTTCGATTTTAAATTTCTTCGAAATAACATGACCAGCTATTGACTAATATTTTTATAAATATTGAATAAACGGTGACATAATTATTAAGGTATAAATATATTATGGTATGAAACTAATCAAATTGTATTTTTTCACAGAGTAAATTTAAAATGCTTGGTTAATAGGAAAAACTTTAAGACTAACTATGACAAATTCTACATAAATTATTCCAATTAATAAGATTGTAAACTATTACAAGTAAAAATTTTACCTTCCGAAATGATTTAATGTACTTCCCGGTTTGATTGGCAGGGAAGCAATAGTGCAATCAATAAGAAGGAATAAAGCTGCAGCTGGAGCTCTGTTGGCTGACTTCAAAGACCCTGGAGAGAGTGCAGTTGACGGGGTCACTGCAGCACAAGAAGCGAAGTATACGGCCGAGCACTACCTCGTATCTAATAGGTACAATACTTAATATTTGTTTTTCAAAGTTTTTAATATTAATAGTATGCAATAGAATATTAAAAAGATTGGAATAATGTATTTGAAACATAGAATAAATGATTACAAATTGCAAGGATATAAATAATTTTTATTTTTTTCGTAATAAAATATCTGAGCAAAAAATACGACTTCTGTTATATAAAATATAATGCGGTGGATATTGAATTTATTAAATTTGTGGAAAAAAATATATTTTATTAAAAGGTTTCATTTTATTTGGTGTCATTTTTAAATTTGACTTAACTTGGTCATCATTATTTAAGTTTCATAATATTTGCTAACCTCATCTTCACCTTCTAATTTAAATAGAGGTCAAGATTACAACTATGGACCGTAATTTGATTAATATAAAGAAGGCTTCATTTCAATAACACTTCTAACGGGTTTTAATTAAAATAAGCGTTTTCAGCTAGCAATGCAATTTGTGATCACAATCCATATCTAGGATAACATAGTTGGTGGTCGTTCATATTTGATTACATTATGCTGATACATAATTTATTAACAGGCGAGGCGATACTGCTAATAGGGATTTTGCGGGAGCTGGTGAAGCTGGATTTATGTGTCCCAGTACAGTAAAGTATGCGCGACCACAACGTGCGCGGGCTACATCTGGACAATGGAAGTACATCGTTAATACCGGCGAGCATACTCAGACACTAAGACTCGAGAAGTGCTTGTAAGTCGACGGTCAAACATTAAAATAATAAATTATTCTAGTATCTATTAGTGTGTAACTGTTTATCCTATAACATGTGGACAGCGTGGTTAAATATTTATATTTTATCATAAAATCATATTTTGTTTACAAATATGATATATTTTAAACTAGATTTTAATTTTATTCAGTGTAACATAATATTCTAAATTCTCTTTCATTTGTTTTAGAAAACCAAAGGAATCGTGTACGTATCTCACCGACAATTTCAAATCAAAATGCGTGCAAGTTTACAATTATCATAGACTTCTTACATGGGATCAACAAAATGGACTTCATATGGACATATTTAAGGTGCCCACATGTTGTTCATGCCATATTGAGGGATATAGTGTATCATTCCCTCCTTTGGGGCATAGGGTTCACGAAACGTCATCTGAACAATTCCCCAGTGAAGATCTCTCATCGGAACATGGTAATCAAGCTTTTGAATCTGTTCAATCAACGATTCATAGACCAAGCGTTAGCAAGTCCCCACCATTTACACACACTAAACCATTAGAGACGTTCCCACCTTTTAGTGATAATCACAATTTGATATCAGGTGTACCGTTTAGTAATGGAAAGCATTCTGATAACGAAGAGCTAAACAGTGGTAACATTCCACCCACAAATCCTATGGATTCCTATGGAAACACCTATTTTCACGATTCATTTAACCAAGCAAGTTCTGTGCGTAATATTAAGAGACCTTTATCTTCAAGAATACCTGGTTCGTTAAACAATTTTGAAACAGTCACGTTACCGAGTTATTTAGAGCCTCCTACTCCATCTGCGCCAAATTCTTTCACATTTCTTAATGAAACTCCAAATAAATATAAAATTACTGGAAGTCAATTTAAAAGGGGACCTATAAGACCCAACAGAAGACCCATCAGAAAGAAAATATCTGGTGGTCCAGAAGACTTAATATCGTCTGGAACATCTGCTGTTGAATCACTTTCAGATTCTCCATTAGAAACGATGGAAGATTTCAGTGAAGATTTGGAAGAACTTGAAATTGGTCAAGGTACTTTAAAAACAAATGCTCCTAAGAGGGTTACCATTGCGCCAAAGTTGCAAGCTGTAACTCCGGAAACAATTTCATCAACATACAGATCAGAAGAACCAAATGTAAATAAAGAAATTTTTACGTCAAATGGTAAGAGAGTAAATTACAATTACCATCCAATCATAGATTTTTTTGATCAAGACGAAAAAGGAAACGAAAATGACTCTATTGATAGAGAAGATAGTGAACATACTTACGTTGCTAATGTTCAATCAGAATGGAAACCAATTAATCATCCATCATCTAAAAGTAATGTGCAATCTCAAAATATAAAAAGGAAAAAACATTGATGAAAATAAATTTAATAAGTAGAATTAAATCGTATTATAGAAATCTACATTATTACGATAAACAAAACAGTAATGTTTATAATTTATTAATGTGTATAATAAAACCAAACCAAATCGATTTTTAAATTATTGTATTTAAAATTAATTTATTTTTAAATTATTGTAGTTAGAATGTAAATGAAAGCCCGTGTAATTATAGTATTATTATTAAGTAATAATAATAAAGACTTGCCAGATAAATAAAATATTTTTGTCTACAACCCATTGCTATTTTATTTGAAGATACCAATTGTAGTGTCTATACGAGTAGTATGGGATTCGAGAATATAAACGTTCACTCTGCAATTGAATTAATTTTATATAAACATTGTATATTTCAGTATGAATTAATAACTTCTGAATAATATTTATTATAAGTTTTGTTTGTAAATATTTATTGTAATATAAATTGAAATATGTAAAACATTTATTTTTATCAAAAGCTTATACTGTTAGCAGTTGGCAATTTAAAATTGAGAGTTAAAAACGTAATGTTGCATTAAAATCTTCTTTGTCAAACACCAATGAAAGTGAAAGTCGTTACTTTAGAGTTGAATGTTCGGAACAAAATTGAACCAATTCGGTTTTAAACACCGTTTGTCTGCAAATTACATAATACGAGTACATGCACACAATTTTATAACAACATTCCAATCTATTTCATTTACAAAATGTATTTTTTTTTATTTCAATAAAACGTCCAATCAAATTTAAAAATATATTCTGTGTCCGTTGTGAAACTCTGCTACTTATGGAAGTATAAGTGGAATTAAGTATGAATTACCATTTTAGTCAGTTGTACTAAATCACATATTTTTAACCGACTTCCAATAAGAAGAGGTACTCCAATCGACTCATATTTTTTATGTGCATTATATAAGTACATATTTTAATTTTTTTGCACAAACATTTTAGAATAATAAAACAAAAAAAAAACATTATATAAAAATATTTATTTATAAAAGCATTATAAATAGTTTTTCAATAACTAATAACTTATCAGAATTTATTTAAATAAAAACAATGTACGTAAATCAACAATAAATTTATCTATCACAGAAACTTCCTCGTCAATGTTTTTAACAAATTACAAGATTAATAATATAATTCAATAATATCAAGTCAATTTCGTAGAACTTTCACGTTTATTGTCAAAAAGTTATACGAAATTATTAGTGGCACTTTCTAAACAATTCTAATCAAAATATATACATAACCATAAGTATCATATAATAATTTTACGTTGTATAATTATAGTTCATTAAGCATCAACGTAATAGTACATTCGTTTACTAGGGTCAAGTATGTATGATGGTGTAGTCGTTAATATAGGAACTGCTCGAGCGAAACTGTTTAATAGGTCTGCAGAATTAATTTTTTTCGTACTTTCAGTTTTTGCTTTTTCTAAACGTTTTTCACTATCATCATTAGTATCTTCTGCTTGAACTAATCTAGAACTTCTATAATTCCCGCCATGCAGACCTCTTCCACTATTTCTGTTATTAGAGCTAGAGTAGGGTTTAAAATTACCTCCATGCATCCGGTTTGCAGAATCATCGTCCTGATCATCATGATCATCTCCGAGTTCAATCAATTTTTCACTTCGGTTACCGCCTCGTCTTGTCTTTCGGTCGTTAATTGACCTCAGATTTCCTCCATGCAATGATCCGGTGTCAGGTTTTTCTGTTAACTCTATATATTTTTCAAATTTCTTCTCACCCCTTGATCGTTTTGCATCATTACTTGGCTTAAGATTACCTCCATGCATTTTTCTGGATGAGCCACTATCATCCAATTCAATTAATTTCTTGTTTTCAGTTTGCGAAGTTTCAGCATCCTTTGGTACCTTGGGATCTGTATTTGAAGATTCGACAAGTGCCTTTTTTTCTAAAGCTGGTGCATGTCTATAATTGCCGCCATGCTTTGGACCATTTTTAAGATCCAAATTTCTGTCAAAAATTTCAACAGCCCCTAATTTATTTATGTCGGTAGCTAGATTATCATCTTTGTACAAGTCGAGGGCTTCTAAATTCTTGTTTGTTTTCTTTTCTATGGCTTTTCTAGGAATTTCTTTTATTATTTCAACTTCTTCAATATCTTGTTTAAACTCTGTAACATGTGGCGCTGTTTTGTCTACAGGTAATTCTTTATGAATCGCAACTTTTTTTCTAGATATGATTGGTTTACTTTCCAATTTAGCACTTTTAGCTTCAGTAGTAGATATTGGCGGCTCAGTTGTCCTTACTAGAGTTCTCCTGGGCGTTTCCGTTGTAAAAATTTTAGGATTTTTTTCATCAAGCTCTTCCTCATTCTCCTCATCATCATCTTCTTCATCGATATCCTCATCTTCTTCATCTTCATCTTCTTCACTGCTCGTTTCTTCCGAATCTTCATTTTCTTCATCTTCGTCAGAATCAACACTCTCTTGATTCTTCTTTTTAGCTTCTTTTTCATATAGTGGTACATAATCATCCATATCATGTTTGACTCCTATCAAAGCATCAATCTCTTCTTTCCTCATATCATCATCTTCATCCCCGTATTTTTTTGTATCTGTCACTAGAGTACTTTTTGTACTCATTTTCTTTTTCTCTCTATATTTTGGTAAAGATATATCGTCATTATCATCCAGTTTCTTAGAAATCTTAGCAGTGCTTTTTTCATCATCATTTGTATTTCTAGTAATGGGAGAGGAATTTCTAAATCTTGTCACTAGCCTTAACTTAGGAGGTTCTTCAGTGACTTCTATTTCAGGAATTTTAGTGGTGGTTGCGGTTCTCATTCGCTTTCGAAAAATAGGCTTAATAGTCGTTGTGGTCGTAGTTGTCGTTGTTGTAGATATCACTTCTTCTTCTTCCTCATCCTCGTATTCATCTTCATAGTCTTCTTCACTCTCAGAAACGTCTTTTTTTTCTTCAGAAGAAGGTTCCTTTTTAACAGTTTGGGGGGCCGAAGTCACGGTTTGTCTAACATTACTAGAAGCCGCTGAATTCTGAAAGTCTTCGGATTTCCGAAAATTATTAGCGATGTTAAAGAGGTTCCTTGCTGATGGTCTTTTATTATTTGAGCTACTGACGGTATTATTTTTGTTCGAAAGTTTTGTGTGATTTTCATAGTCCTCTACAGACATTGCCTTTTTATTTTGTACAGGTGAGTAATCGGATTTATGGTTAGAGGGTCGAAATTCATATCTTGGTTCACCTCTCCTCTTATCAACACTTACATCGACAATACTTGGATCTAAACTATCATTTGAATTATTGCTTAAAAGGTGCTCCCGTTCCTTTTTACCGATATCTTTATATGCACGGCTTCCAAGACTTACTTTTAAGGGTTGATCTTTATCGTTGTTTGATTTAACAACAGTATCGATAACTTTGCTTGATTGAAGTTGTTTGATTAGAGGACTTATGTTACCAGTAGTTGTTGTTTTTTTTGAATCCGATGTTTGAACGTCCCTGATAATTTTATATGGTTCATAAACAAATGGAGCCGCTCGTTTGTTTCGTAACACCGTTGTTGTGGTATTATCAATGTGTTTTTTAGTTTGAACTGTGTCATCTAAATTTACAGTTCCAAATGATTGGCTACTGTTATTATTCTCCCCATTGTTAGATGTTATATTTTTTATATTACTATTATATACAACATTTGATTCTGATATTGAGCTTTGTAAGTTACCATTAGAATCGTTATTTGGTCGCATTTCAGAAAGATTTGTAAAATGTATTTTGTTGTTATTTAATTTAGTAGCTATTCCTTGTTGGTCAATTATCAGTGACTCTTTTAATTTATTATTTTTATTTTGTAGTTTTTTCAAAAGTTGATATATGTCTTCATCCATAGCTTTTTTAGGATTTTCCAGTTTTGATACTACATTATTTGGTGCTGTTTCTAATAAAGTATTATTCTTGGAATGTTTAAGCTTGAAAGAGGATAAATTTGGTAACAAAACTGGTTCTGGTTCCGATATAATTTCTTCATTGAAAAATGGACTATCCAGTGGATTATGACCAAAGTATTTAGCTTTGAAACAATCAATTTTGTCACCTAACCCTTCAAGTCTTGGAAGGGATTCAGTGGACTCACCTTTCTCATTATTTTCTGTTATTGATCCATCTTCCGGTTCATCAGGATGACCTTTTTTCTTAAATTTTTCTGGCAAGGCGTCCACTTTTTCATCAACCTCGGGGCATTCAAGTAGTGACCTAGAATCGTAGAATTCAGTACCTCCCAATGTTTTTTGAGGAATAAGCTTAAAATTCTCAGCATAACGGATCGGAGAATTTTTATTGACTAATTTTGAATCTTTAAAATAATATGGATATTTTTCTGATAGATCTGGTGCTACAATTTTTTCCATAGCAATTTTTAAGATATCTTTTTCGGTTAGTAATGTTGAGTCTATGTCCACATCTGGTACCTTAAAATCAGTTTCTCGTTTATTCACATCATGCTGTTTTATTTCGTTAGTGATGTTTTTTGTTGTAGTTACTGTGCCATTTTGCTGCACCTCATTTTTGTTATGTCTTTTATTTCTTTGATTATCTTCTTTATTTGTTGGTACTCGTTTGTAATTATCTGCTTCAATGGAGTGTTCATATTCGTCTCCAGAATAATCTTCAGAATCTTCTTGATGTTTGCTGTTTTTATTATTTTCTTTCCATATCTTTCCATCTAAAACTTGTTCTTTGAATGCTGAACCACCATCATCCTTGTAACTAGCACTTAATGACGGAGCTTTGTATTTTCCTCCACTTCGTTCATTTTCTTTGAGGAAACCACCATGTGCCTCATGATCTGAGGCATGTTTCTGTTCACCGGCATGATCATATGCTGAGTCCTCATATCCTTCTTCGGTATAAACCGTTTGCGCTTTGGTACTTTTTATAGCTTCTCTTAATCTTGGCGCATTTTTTATTTCCTCGTAACTCTCAGCATCATCAAATGCAGCTTCTTTCGGTAAATGTTTTGTCGTCTCAGTTTTTCGTACTTGTGCATAATTTTTAATAGGCACAAACTCCTCCTCTTCTTCCTCATCTGGTGACTTTTCATCTTTTTGAAGCTCTAGTTTCTGCGAAATTATAGGTCGATTTTTAAGAACTAAGTTGTTAATAGACTCATCTAAGTTATTTCTTAAATTAAGATACTTTTCTTTGCCTTTTACATATATGTCATATCCATTAGATGGTTCTTCATATGGTTGTAGAATAGGCACTTGAGGATATTCATTTCGTTCGTCGTTATATGTTAAAGCATGGTGCTGGCGCAATCTTTGTAAATGATGTTTAAGGGGTTGATAATGCAATGGTCTTATTTTAACATAATTTTGGTTCCATGGGTGCTTGAATCGTTGATTCAGTATATGGTCTCTGTTAGGATGTTTTGCAATGGGACTGTAGTAAACGGGACGCCGCTGTGGCCTGTGTATTTCATATGATACTGGTATGTTTTTCTGTGGCAATTTTCTTAAATCGGTTTGCTCGGGACTTTCTAAATATTCATCTTTTGATATATCTGCATTTCCACTATCACTTTCTTGTTTTTCAAATCGTTGGCTACTAACTTGTATATCGTTTCGTATTTTATCTAAGATAGGGTCCTTGTATATGTCTTGTAACCGTGGTTCTTCAGCCTTGTATGGATGAAATATATCATAGTTTGTCGATGATGGAGTAACATAAGACGCTAAATTATCATTTTGCTTAATATATTTTTGAAACTGTTGAAACACTGGTCTGTTTTCGTCTTGTATACGGTGTTTTCCTAGCTCTGGTTTATTTCTTCCTGTAAACGGTTTAACCGGATGCGCTTTGAAAAGAGTTTCTGGTGACTGTACTCCATGGAAATTTGCAATGTCCACAGCAAATTGTGGCTTCTTTGCTGTATATTCGAAATACTGTATTGGTATTGGCTGTTGTTGAACGACTTGCGGTTTAAATTGTTCTACTGAAAACTTGTCTTCTTCAGGTTTCACTTCACTATTATCACCGTTCCACACGGTAGGTACCCGGATGGGCACACATATTTCAAAACACTGTAGCACAAGTAAAAGCAGAGCTAGGCGCGCGAACATCGTGCCAGTGACATCACGGCGGCTGCACCGGTTGACTGAGCGGAGCCGGTGTGCCGACGATCGTATTTATCTCCTCGGTCGGTCGTTTCGGGCCAATTGCTTTGGAGTCATTCGTTTTGTTCGAATTGACGTGGTCTAGGTAATAGGAGATAAGTAAGAAGTATTATTGTTGGTTTCATTTTAGATTTCATTTAAAATTTATATGAAATATATATTAATTGATGTCGTTTTTCTTTATGTATAATAAAAAAAAACGACATCAATTAATAAAAGTACTAAAGTTTCTCGGTCAACATGAAAAATGTTTTAATTTCACCATTATTTATAAGTGATTTACAACTAGCTGTTTTCTCGTGACGCTGCTGACTTAAATTATGGCATATCACCCAAACATGATGTAGCTTCCCATAAATGAAATTTTAAATCAGTTATACAGTTTCAGAGCCTATTTAATGCAAAGAAACAAACAATCAAATCTTTCCTTTTTATAACATTAGTAAAGATATTAAATCTTTACTTCTTTTCTACTCAAATATGTTTAATTTTTATAGAAATAGTTTAGATAAAAATAAATAAAAGCAAAATATCTCAAAAGTATTTCACTTGGACCTAGGTTCAATTGGAACGGTTAAGGAAAGGAAAAAGAAGGTGTTTCAAGCATCAGCTTCGAATTCAATAAGCGCCTAGTTATTTACTTATTAGAAATACGAATAAATAGTAGTACATTAGAGTCAAATAAATTTATGAAAAAAACTATTTTTGAAAATCAATCTAGTCGGTCAGTGACAATAAATAAAATTATTTGATGACTCTTTCTTTACTATCTAAATTTTTTCATTCCACATTATTTCCTGTAGATTTATAATGTTTACGAATAACTTTGTTTTTCAAAATCTATCATAGTGTAGAATTCTCTTGGCTTGTTACAAGTTTAATTTGTTGAATTATTGCTCGATTTAACAAAAACTCTCTCAAGAAGTTTGCATCAGTTCATTTGACTATGGAGCAACCTAGGCTCTCCTGATCTGTACATTACACGGTGAAACTGGTTTACAGAGAAATCTGCATTGGGTATTTTATTATTTAAAAGTCACGTTCCAATTTTACTATATTATTCGCTTTATTAATAAATGAATTAAGTGGGTAACGTTGAGCAAAAGTTTCCGAACGTATCTAATTGTTGACAATTGACTTTATCAGTTGACGCAATATCGATAACAATCAAAGGTAATGTTATTTATGCAACTCTACGAGGGGGATTTTTTTTTATGTAATTTGGTTCAGCAATCGAGTTAAATGGAACAGTGTCTACGTTGATGTAATGAGCACTGCGAGTTGCAAGCGAGATAGATCCGTCTTTTTGTAGCGGGGGAGTCATATTGATTTCAAAAATAAAATTTTTGTTAAACTAATTGGATGGAATTAGTCAGGTGGAAATGTTTTATCGGGTTTTTAACGCTCATCGGTCACGGGTTTTTGAACAAAAATTAAGTAAAAAGTCTTTAAAAGTGCATAGTTGGATCTGTCAGGAATTTAAATTAATACATTTGCTATGAGATGGGATTTTTCATTTATAATATTTTTCAGTATTGTATTGTGAATGTAAATTAATCAAATATCATAACAACTGACTTATTTAAAAACGTGTAACATATCTGCTGGCCTACTTGTAATACATTCTTCGAAAATTTGTTTAATAGGCTTTCTCTGAAACTTCTAAGGTTCATTTTGAAATAAAAATATAGAAATATGTAGTTCTTTACTTACATCTTCAAAGAAGTTGTTTTGTTTAACTGTTTTACTAGCTTTACGCCTTCGTGGGCGTTATAAAATAAGTATGGATTGGATGATCTTAGTTTGTGAGTCTTGCAGACAGTGGCACAAACGCCCATTAAAATTGTCATTAGTTTGAAGCGATATTATAGATATAAATTTGACATTCATTAGCTTAAATGCGTTTATAAACCTTAAAGGACGTTTGTGCAAGTGACCGTTGATATGTTTCTAATGAATGATATAATTTTACTAGCGATAGATTAGAGTATCGTGGTACTATCGATAGGCTGTCCTTATTGCGACAAACATTCATCCACGCAGACGATCGCCATCAAGAATGTTAAATAAAGTGTTATCGAACTGACGATAATCTGTCGTAACGACAGATTACCAAAGGGCTCAAGCCGTTTCTTCACGTCTTTAGTAACTTCACGCAAATAGATGCGACCATTTGACTGATTAGTCAAATTTTCAACGGCCTTTGTAAGAAAACGGTTCAGACACGCCGCGTGCTGGTTAATTGTTAGTTTAAAAATAGGGGTCAATATAAACTAAACATTATATAAGTACGTTGAGTTTGAAATCGCATCAGTATCTGATTTTAAACAAATTAACTTTAAAGATGTGCGTTATTTATGCTACAGATTGTATACTGCTGTTATCGTTGGTTAAATAAAATCTTCAGGATGTAGGTTATCTTGTATGTTGTGTAAATATTTATATATAAACAAAATGTTTTTTCTTCAAAAAAAAAGCCTTAAACCAGGTAATAATTGTTTTGAAAGCGGTTTATTTATTCTTCTATTAAAACCAGGAGGTTAATATTCACTACACAAAACCTCGACTTGATAATTACTGCGATAAAAAAATAACCTTAAATTTTTCTCTGTAATTAAAGCTTTTACAGTTTATAGCACTCTTATCATTATAATGTTTCTATTGTAGAATCATAGCGGCTAAGAGTCTCAGAGACATTACATAGTCTAAGGCACGAGTGTTTAAATTTTTGGCAAATAGAATATGACAAATTAATAAATTAATTATTTTAGACAGTTTGTTGAATTCTTATTAACAGTATTAGAGCGTCGAGTCCTTTGAATGAATGAATTATTATTTATTTGTAGAAAACATGGTATAATTTTAGTTTTTATCTTAACATATTTTTCCATGCTTTATACATATGTCGATTACTACTTAATTATCTACATAATAATGAGTAGTACATTTTGAATATTTGTTTCCATGGTCTAATATATGCTTACTACAAATAATATGATATAATTTTAACGTTATTACAATTACAACAATACTTTAAATAAAACCATCAATCTAATTAATTATATATTATTCATTTATGTCAATATCTCTAGCGATTTCCAAGAACTATTAGAACAGAAAATAGAATATGAATCAAAATTTGTATTTGATAAGAATTATTTTGCGTATGTCCATCACGGCAGAATCTCAGAAATTCATTTATGTCAAAAAAAATAATAATTTTAACTTAACCCACAAGCTATTATCTAACTATTTCTATTAAGATACGCTGTTGTTGAGGATGAAACGATCAATTTGTATGGATACCTTGTTTCAAAATTACATTTTTCGTGTTTCTTTGTAAAAAGATTTAAGTTTTTTCACAAATAATAAAACTTCGAATATGTAAAGCCTACATTGCTGCTGACCGACTCCACAAATTGTTCGGACACACTTTTTTACAACATAAAAGCACGATTTATGTCTCTCAAATTTCCCCATATCAGCATGGAATCAACATTCCTATATATCAGGGTTTCCCAACCTTTATTTCGCCAAGCCTCCCCTAGGCAAAAATAGTATTTTCGTGCCCCCCTTAGGTAAGTTTCAACAAAAATAAGAAACGCACATTTTATTTATCAATTAAATTATTTATTTTTAGGTATTTTAAATAGGTTGAATACAGTAGTACAATATATTAATTAAGGATAATAGATATTTTTTAAACAACTTTTAATTCAAGTAATTTTAAAACAAATAAATAAAATCTTTTAAGGTACTAAGCTACTGAGATAGTTGAGCTTGCATGCTCTGTACCAGTTGGTCGATTCTGGGTTCAGTCTTTGCTAAAGCTATGGTTAAATCGGGTTCAGTCTTTGCTAAAGCTATGGTTAAATCGCTATCGACGGCAAGGGTATTTCGCTGCTTGGTTTTTATTAAAACAAGAGCTGAAAAACCTGTCTCGCATAAATAAGTGGACGAAAATAGAATAAGTATTTTTAAAGCAAGAGAAGCAACTTTCGGATTAACAACGAATCGTTTGATCCAAAATTTTTCTAATGTCAAGAGATGAAAGTCATCTTTAATGGTCGAATCAGCCTTCATTTCTAGAAATTCTTCTTGAACTTCTTCAGGTGATTGTAAAACATCGACAACAAATGGGTTTCTGGTCATGTGCCATATTGGTGATTCGGAATTGATATCTCGATAGTATCGATTAAATTCATTTTCCAACGTTTCCAAATGAGTTTCTATTTCAGATTTCAAATTTTTACTCAAGTTTTGATTATTAATTTCTTCGAACAGCCGTGAAAAAGGAAATACATTTTCATCAGATATTTTCTTTTTCCAAAGTTGAAGTTTTTATATGAAACCTTGAATATGATCATAGTTACTAATCAAAGTACCATTTCTGCCCTGAAGTTTCAAGTTTAGCTGGTTCAGAGCTCCGAATATATCAGCTAAATAGGCCAGCTTCCATTGAAATTGTTCATCTTTGAACAGTTGCAGAAAATTATTATTTTCTTTAAATTCAAGAAAGAGGATGACCTCTTCTCTTAATTCATAAAGGGGAGCTAGCATGTTGCCTTTTGATAACCATCGCACTTCTGTGTGGAATAGGAGGAACTTGTGGTCAGAATCGAGATCCTCACAAAGTAAAGTAAATAACCGACTGTTCAATGCACTACTTTTAACAGATTAAAAACACAACTTGGACTTTTATGCGAACGAACTATTGACAGAAGCGAGTGGTACGGCTGGGTACGGCACACAATTGTTTTAGTGACGGACATGACAGATGGATGCAAGCGGGAAGTTGAGGGGAGCGTGTCACACGTCGTGTTGTGACTTGTAGAAACTTGTACAGCAGCGATTGAATGGCAATTAGGAACAATAGGGAATATGTTTTATTTTTCAATTGTTTCTATCGATTACTTTTGTTAATATCGTATAATAGGGTAAAAAAT